AAAGAGGTCATGTTTTCACAGGGCATGCTGAGATGTGCAAGCTAGCTTTGGCTATATAAACTCTTAAGCTGAAGCACCAGTGAGCAAATGCAGATGATGATACCCTCAAATTGGGTAACAATTCCATAAAAATATTTTTCTTCCAGACCTGAGCTGGCAAATCCACATGGTGCTCTACTGCACTATGTGCATTTATCAGCTTTCATCTCAGTAACTCAGAGACCTGTGCAACTCTCCGTTGTATAGCGTCAGTATGCCCAAAACCTAACAGTGGCTGTGACTGCTGTGAGAACCAACAGGTATGACAGCGTCACTGCAGGAATACAAATTTAAGAAGACATCACCTTCAATAAGACTATCTGATTGACTTTCTGCTCCCTGGTGTGCAAGTCCCATTGGTGGTATAGGGTAGATGTGTCTCCACCATACTGAGAGCTCAGACTTCCAATAAGGCAGTAAGATGCACTACCATCAACCATTACATCTTCTGTCTTCTCTCCTTCTTCCTTAGGTAATACAGTCTCAGACTCAATCTCAAGATTTTTCTTCTGAACCTGAATATCACAAACATGATAACTGTGTTAATTTTGTACACAATCCAGTGGCACATCTGTGAAAAAATTCTAGAGGTCATATTCTGCAATTAAGCTCAGTGATCAAAGTAATACAAATTGAAAGGATCATATTGGGAATATTGGGTCCATTTGTAGGTTCCCCAGTACAAGAAAGACATGGGCATACTGGAGCAAGTCCAGTGATAGGCCACTAATTAAGGGTTTGAAGCACCTAATGTGTGAGGACAGGCTAAGAGAGCTGGAATTGTTTAGCCTCAAGAAGGAGAAGGCTTGGGGGGGATCTTAGTAATGCATATAAAAACCTGATGGTGGGGAGTAAGGACAACAGAGCCAGACTCTTCTCAGTGGTGCTCAGTGACACTGAGATGAAATGGGTATACATCGAAATACAGGACATCCAACTTAAACATTGTAAAACACTTTTCCTGTGAGGGTTGTCAAACATGGGAAGAGGTAGCCCATAGAGGTTATGGAATCTTCCATCCTTGGAGATATTCCAAACCTGACTGGATATGGCCCCGAGTAAATTGCTCTAGGAGGGCTGGACTAGATGACTTCCAAAGGGCTCTTCTGACTTCAGCTATTCTGTGATTCTTTAATACTAATACATTTGTTCTCAGTAAAAACACAACATTTCATCTTTATTTATCTTTTTAAATTTTTGGGGACAATTTCTACAGCAAGAAAATGGACCTTAGAAATGTAACTGTTCAAAGAAGGGTTAAGATGCCAACTCAAAACATCCTGATCTGAAAGGCCTTTATGCAGTACTTCAGGGAGATTGTACCTTAAGATCAGCTGTCTCAATCTTCTTTAACCGGAGAACTTTCTCCAAAGTTGCCAGCTCTTTTTCACTACGTTCCTTCAGTGGATAATTCTTCACTTCACAAGCCATATGGAAGCACTGTTCAAATTTAAAAAAACAAAAACCCAAAGTAAAAAGTTCTTCAGAATACATCTATCAATTCATTTGTTCAATACCTGAATGCTAAACAGTTACAAAAACTTCTTAAAATCAGGAATAAAATTGAGGAACAATTAATATAGACAATGTAGTAAAAATACAGGGGTAAGATAAAAACTACTTGCCTTTTTGGTAATGAAAATGGTTTGTTTAAAATTTGCTTTTTTCTTTTTTTTTTTAAATGATCTACAGATATGGCCTCTTCATCCACAGAATTCAACCAGAATTAGATTTTTTGTAAAATGACTTGGTCTTTCACCACCCATGAGATAATCCAGTATCATCAATTTGACTAATCTCCCTTTGTTTAAAATAGGCAATATCAGGGTTAAATTTTGCCTTTATGGTCTGTGTAGCAGAAGTCATACTGACTGCACACAGAAAAAGAATATTTACCTCTCCTTTTAGCAACACTGCATGTTCTCTGAGATCAAGGAATTAAAGAGTTGCTTATTTGCTTATCAGGTAGCTTAGAAGATAAAATCAGCCAGGCTCAGACAAAATGAACAGAATGAAAGATTTGCATGAGCCCTGGGAAGAAGTAAGTTTTTTCCATACCATAAGCAAATCAGAAATGTGTTATACTTCTATTTATTTTGTCTCTGTACCTTAAGGAATCAATAAACTACTGCAGAAAATGAATTAGAAAGCAGAGGTTACCTTAACTGCACGTCCTTTTACACACATAGCATCCCAGCACTCATGTTTGATGACATCCTGCAAATAGCAGTTGGCTAAATTCTCCATCTCAATCTCCTTCCTCACCTTTCAAAATACAGAAAAGAAAATAACAAGATGTGGTGCAAAATAACAAGATATGAGCAATTTGTATTGAGTTATTGAAAGAAACCTAACAGATGAAATGAATTACCAGTATTTCATCATCTTAGACTATTGCAGCTATCTTCTCCAAAAACTATATTGCATACTACTGAAAAGCACCATTTTGTATGTGAGGAAAAGCATTCTAGAACTTAAGCAATGTGCCCAAGGCCACAGTGTCAGATTTATATTTCTGGCATAGATCATATTCCAATTGGCAATGTCTGCATCAGCAGCTTCACCTGCTTCAGAAAGTGACTTTAAATACTTTTAAGTTTTCCTGCTTCTCAGCAGTGAACAGCAACTTTGAGATCATCCTCTGTTCTTCAATAATTCTTTCTTCTTTTCACTGCAAGTTTTAAAATGTTCTCCCCCCATTCTATCATACCCTGGCCACTTCTTGTTCAGCCTCTGCTTGCACTCTTACCTGTTCTTCTATATCCAGGTTGAACTCCTGCTGGTCCAGTTTCTCAATGTCTGGCACCTGTTCATTTTCATGCATCATTTTCTGAATCTGTTTTTTTTTTTTAAATAAGCATAAGGAATAAAAAGTAATTTGAATGTGAATAGAGGAAATGCTATTTTTAACACTATAGAACTTCATATCAGAGGAAATGATTCTAATTGCCTCCACTTTTAACCTCTTCATGGTAACTGGTAGAATGTGCTGCCTGTAGCTAGTGACAGAGAGTACTATGTGAATATATTTCATCTTTCTCTTAAAGTTGATTTGGATGTTATATGTGAAGTTGTGTATACTTTCTAAGAACCTGTAATACACAATTCTTTATTCTCTGCTTCTGAGAACTTTATTAAGAAGTTGTTATCACTTTATTGAGTTGTTATCTATCTCATACAGTTCAACAAAGGGAAGTGCAAAATCTTGCACCTGGGCAGGAACAGCCCCATGCACCAGGACATGCTGGGTGCTGAGCAACTGGAAAACAATTTTGCAGAGAAGTAGCTGGGGGTCCTGGTGGACACCAAGTTGAACGTGAGCCAGCAACATGCCCTTGTGGCAAAAAAGGCTAACAGTATCCTGTGGTGTATTGACAGTGTTGCTAGCAGGTTGAGGGAGGGGAAAGACATAGACATACTGGAGAGAGTCCAATGAAGGTGATTATGGGACTGGAGCATCTCTCATATGAGGAAAGGCTGAGAGAACTGGGACTGTTCAGCCTAAAAAAGAAATGGCTTGGGGGGAATCTCATCAATGCATATAAATATTGAAGGGAGTGTGCTAAGAGGGTGGAGCCAGGCTCTCTTCAGTGGAGCCCAGTGACAGGACCAGAGGCAATGGGCACAAACAGAAACACAAGAGGTTCCGCCCAAACATCAGGAAACACTTTTTTACTGTAAGGGTGACCGAGTACTGAAACAGGTTGCCCATAGGGGTCATGGAGTCTCCATCCTTGGAGAAAACCAAAATCTGTCTGGACATGGTCCTGGGCAGACTGCTCTAGGTGACCCTCTGCCTTATCCCCTTGCAGATAGCAGTTTTTATGGAAGGAAAGAGAAGGAAGAGGAAAGGACAGTAGTTTCTATAACAGAAAGCTGTCAGATGATAGGCAGAAACTAGCCTGCTGAGGGGATAGGTTGCTCAAGGTATAAATACAAATAATACAAAATATTTATTTGGAGCAAAGGAAACTGAGAACCAGATAGTAGTTCCTGGCAGGTTCAGCATATAGTCCCTGAAGAAGCGTGTCTTTTTGTTACCTGTCTGCTCAGAGTTTATGACAATAATGTAACTGAGCACTAGGGTTGATAGCCATAAAGGAAGTGTACTTGTAAACAAAACTGATAAGCCATTAGCCTTGTAAGAAACTCACAGTTTTACGCAGCTTTTTAATTCCCATTTGCAGCTCTTTCTTCTGGTTAGCAAACCTCTGAGTCTCTTCTCTAATGACCTGACATACAACAAATATATTGTTGAAAGACAAAAATAGACAAGAAGAGAAAAAAAGATTGAAATAATCTAAAGGAACATAATCTGTACAGAAAACAAAACTCCAAAGGGATTAAAAACTGAAACAGACATAATCTTAATTCAATAGGATGATTCTTAGAATTGCTCAAGAGAAAAAAGATTGTACAACTAGGTCACATTGTAAACTGGTTGTACAGCAATAGAGCGTAAAAGAAAGAAAATACTAAAGAAAGAAGTAATTACAATTGCAATGATTACAGACACATTGAACTGCGTAAAGCCTACTGCTAGAATTTGTTAAGTGGTTTATATTCCTTAGATTTTTCATTGTCACTAAGCATTTCCAGTGGGATATTTAAAGACACAAATAAACTAACATCTGTTACTCATTCAGGAAGCTGTGAAATTTTCTTTGCCCCCACAGCCTTGCCAATTCATCTCTTAGGGACAATTTTGCAATTAGTCTGCACCTCTGGAATTTGCTTCCTAAAATAAGTTTACAACTTTAAGTAGGACGATGGCTATTGATTGAAGGGAAGGGGTGTATCATTCTGACATTGGATGGACTCCATCCTCTAAATGTCCTCTTAGGACATTAATGAGCAGGTTAAAACAACCTAGGACCACATTGCTGCCCTTCAACCTTTGCTTCTCATCACCTGTCCCTAGCTAATACTAACAGTCATGTGGTACTCGTGTGTATGCACAGTCACATGGATTTGCCAAAAAATCCCAGTAGAGACACCAAAGCGTAAGTGCCAGCATCAAGGCAGAAAGAGGAATACATGTCTGGAAGAGCGATGGAGAAGACACCACTTTCAGTGGCAGTATGTCTTAGACTGACTTGAGCCATTTGTGAAACTGCATCATACTTTGGAAAGTCACTCCTGAGATCACCCAGAAAGCAATGACATTTTGCTTTGTCCTGTCATTGAACCTCAAAAGCTTGACAAAATACACAGCTCCGGCTCATATCAGAAAGAACCTCCTAGCATCCATAAACTCATATTTCTGAGAAAAAAAAATCTATACTAACATTAACATAGCAGTTTTCAGGCTCACAAAGCGCTAAATCCCCTCTTTGTAGGCAGTTAGATCTTTGATGCACCTTTACTTATAAAAAGCTTTTGTTATATAACATCCCTCAACCTTAACCTGAAATAAACCTCAGGGGTTTTGTAATTAATGTCATATTGTTGAGTATTGATTTATCAGTGCTGTAGAACTTGTTATTCTGGCCCTTGGGAAGAAGAGAGCACCTGCTTGGTTTCTGGTAATAATCTTCTGTGCAACTTTTTGACATTTAGAAGAAAAAAGTCTTTATAAGTTTCTAAAGGAAGCTAATTTCTCTGGCAATTTTTTTTTTTTTTTTTTTTTTTTTAGTTTACTCCTTGTGTAGAAGTGGTCTTTTGGTCTCTAGAGCTTCTATTGTGCTAGGTACCTTCTCTGATGTATTTATAACCTTGACCTAGGATTTCTAAAAGTCTAGATCGCAATGCCTTAAAGAGAGGTCCAAATGTCAGAAAAGCTTTAGAAACTAGATTCCTTTGCAGCATATAATTTGGCACTCCAAATCACTGCTGACTCTTGAAAACTCTGGCTTTGATTAATAACTCGTTCTATGAAAGTACCTTCTTTATTTTCTGACCTATCCATGTCATGTCATTGGTACTGGCTGAATACAAACTGGTGACGTTTCCGTCTTCTTCTGTCACCTCTACATTGGAAGATTTAAGTGGTGCCTCCTGAAATTAAGGATATAAACATCCATCTCAGGTACTTAGAGAGAATGAAAGAGAGAGAGAAATGAAAGAAAAAATGGACTCACATTAGAAGTGACACCACCACCACCACCAAATTCCGGAGAGCGTTACAACATTTTTAATCCCTAACCAGTCCCCAGATTTGATCCTGCAAACCCTTGATACTATGCAAAGACTTTTGACTCAAGCAGGCTGACTGTACTAATCTCTGTAATCACTGTTTTGCTTGATTTCAACAGAAAAATATACAACTAGTAATACACACTGTATAGCAGTAACATCACACTGGGAATGACAGATAACTTCACATGAGGAGAAACTGACTTTCACAGAGTTTTCTGTGGCTGAAGAAACCAAGTGAAATTGAAGATGTGAATGTCATCTTCCCATGACTATTTCATTTCCTTGATAATACTATTCCACAAATTAATAATTAAGCATATTCAGCCTATCCTCAGGGGTATTCTTCTATTTTTACAAAAGGATCAGAGTCTGTTTTCAGGACACTTTTTATCATGTATAATTTTAGGATAATGATCAAACTTTTTTCCCCCATAAAAATGAAGAAAATACCTTAAATGTCTCTTCTGGAAGTGATTCCGATGTGGATTCTGGGTCAAACTGCCATTCTGCCATAGATTTTAAAACAACATTTTCTTTTGAAGTAGAGTTGTTCAGTATAGCAAGAAGAGATTGCCAGTGAAAAGCAGCTTCCTTAACTTCAATTTTCTTTATCTTCCTAGTAAACGGAAAGGGAACTGATGTATTTTTTGTGTATTATGGAAAAGGACAAAGTATTAAATATTCCTTATAACACAATTAAGTGACTTAAAAATGCCTATTCAACATTTTTACATGTGATTCAATATTGTTTGAGTTCTAGAATTGCATAATTAAGTGAAGTTTCCACAAAATTAGAAATGATGAAAGATGGATTACCCAGATTAGAAATATTGCTCTGGCAGAGTCATCTTTAATCTATGCATCTACCTGAATATTTGTTACACCACAGAAAAGCTGTAGTTTTAAGTGTCTCTTACTCCTACTGTCTGCTACGAGCTCTGTATAGCCACAGTTGAATTCCCATTAAAGCCGTGATGTCTCCTAATCGCTGAGTTAAAATAGTATCCCATGAGATCACATCCCTTACACCCGCAGAGAGCCCCTTCCCGATGGTTTATTTGAGAGTGATAAGCTCACTATGGGTAATACGTATCAGAAGATACCCCTATATCTTGTATTGCAACCATACTTGAAGTACAAGACTTTCATGAGCTACAGAGACCGCCTCTAAAGATGAGAGGAATGATTTTATTTCTATCCAATTCTTCTTCTTACTTTGAGACTAATAAAAAGGAAGTCTAGAATCACAAGTAGATGCAAAAATTAGTCTGTCAGGATACAAGAATCTACACCATCAATATTGGTCTGCCACTTTCTACATACTTCCATTTCAGACACACCAAGGCACCATCATTTTCACCAGTAACGAGGATGAATTTGCCATCCAGCGAAAATACCATGGATCTGATTCCCCCTCCTTGATATGAGTGACAATGCTTTCGAGCAAGTATATCCTAGAAAAGTCATAGAAGCAGTATCAGCAAATACATTTTTCTAATGGAATATGTCTGTAAGTTATGCTTTGTTATTTTTAGAGAAAAGCCAATCCAAAGTGTCAATACAAAGTACATAAAAGACTAGGATTTATGAGTTCAAAATTTTTGACTCCAGATGGGTCAAGTTTGTAGTATAGTGATTTTGCAGGAGATAAAGAAGAGCAGTAAAATTACCTACCCTAAGATTTACTGGAGAAGAAAGTAAGTAGTTTGTATGATCATATGCACATTCATTATAAAAACAATTGTACTGTATAATGCTATGTCAGTTCATGTTCAACATAAATTTTTCTGGAACACTTTATATTCAAGTGAAGAAAAGCTTACAGTTAAAGAGAGTAGTTTTCACACCTCTTTCTCATGTAAACCAAACAAAGCCTGTGCCTGGATGCCTACCTACCATAGTAAAAGTATGATAGATGAACAAAACACCATCCTTTGCTGCTGACGCCAGCCACCGGCTGTTGGGTGATAAACAGAGGAAACCTGATCCAAACTGATTGCTAGGAGTCCTCTTTCCTGATAAAAATACTGATGGATCTTCCAACATATTCTGCCAAACAAAATGTTAGCAGCAGTTCAGATGATGGAAATATCTATGCCATTTTGAGAAGACGAATGAGAGCTTCATGGGTTATCACATGCGTTGCAATTTAAAATGTTGTTGGATTACTGAGCTCAGGAAGCAGTACCATTGCTATGCTGCTGATTTGCTTCTCATCTCTTCAAAAGGGTCTGTATTCAGTATGTTTGGGCCTGAAGTTTCTTGGCTCAGAAAGTACGGGACTTGTCAAGGAGGAATGCTCATCTTTGGAATTCACCTTCTTGCTTGACCTGACTCTTAAGCTGAGGGAGACCTATGAGCTGCAGAGAGCTCCAGTTCATCAGCAGGCAGTGACAGTGGCTTTCTGAAGCCCCCACTACTTCATTGCGAGGCAGGGCTGGCCTGGTTTTGCAGTTGCGTCTTAAGAGTCATGGGCTCACATTGGCTCAGTTCCTTCAATAGCTGGATATTCAGGTTACTCAGCAGAGTGCGCAAAAGCACAGCTCAAATACAGAAGCTACATGTGAAGTGTCTGCAAGCTGTATGAGTTTTAAGAACCAGTATTTGGCTTTCTCTGTAATAGAACAAGGAGATTGCTTTTGCCAGGTTTCTGAGCAGGTGGTAGGATACTGAAAGTTCATGTTTATGCATGGAGTAGATATTTTTAGTGCAGAGAGGATTTATTTAAGATAATATCCTGCTATATTCACCTCATCTACAGCCTTTGTTCGCTGGTATTTAACCATCACCCAAAATAAAGCAGCTTCAGAGAATTACCTCTTCAGAGAGATGGTATTTGCAGATGAAAGGTGCACAGGTACAGTAGCCATACACAATGTTATCCTTCAATCTGACTGCTGAGCTCAAAGGGTAATCCAGATCATATTGCTCCTTTTTAATGGCATTAGCATTAAGCATTCCTTGTTCATTAACATACTTATCATTATCTAAAAGATTGAAAAAAGAAACAAGGAGGAAGAGGCATCACTACCACTAATGCAGGTGCTTCATCTATCAAGTAATTATGAAAACCAATCTCAGCAAGGAGTGAGCATGATGTCAGTGTTCAAGGAGCAAACTGGGAATTAAGATACCTAGCTTTAACACTAACTCTATGGGTTGTGCTGATGTAGCACACTGCGGTGAAGCAGAGATATAGCTCTACTAGCTTTAAAGAAGTACTAGAAACAGTTTAACCACAGTGATGTGACAATTTGTGTACACTAATTTACCCTATTTCTTGGGTATTACGTAAGCAGTGCTAATTAGTTTGCATGGAGGTTCATGCCATCCTTGCTTTCATCTAGAACTTGTTTAGGCATCTCTGCCATGAAGTACACACAGCCTGGGCGGTGTAGGTTAAAACACTTAAGTTCGCATCTTCAAAAGGGCATTTTATTCTTTTTGGTTGCTTAATTTGAGCTTTAAAGAGACATCTGAAATTAAGACTGATGCAATAACTGTAGATCTTCAGCAACTTTGAAAATCAAGCCCCATTTTATATGTCTAAAATTGGGCCCAAAAGGAAGCCCGACAGTAGCGAATATTTAAAGAAAACTTCATTGAAAATTACTTTTTAGAAAGTTTGTAAATTTTAAGGCCTTTTAAAAATTATATGTAAATAACTAGAAAATCTGACACTAGGCTTACTAACAGTTTTACGGAGGTTTTCTCCACAAAAGGCTTTGTTAGTAATTCATTTGCATATAATGTGAGTAAAATGATATAAAAATAGAATGATGTTAATAATGAACACAGGCTGCCTTTTGCTGTAATGTGATAGAAGACATCACTGAAACCTCAAACTGTATTGATTTGGCAATTCTTGGGTGGAAGAGACATAAAACTGGAAGTGCATGGTGCCACTGCCAACCAAGCCTGTCCTGCGCTGGCTGCATGATAGAATAGATGAGGACACCAAGCATAACATTAGCCTGCACTGTGCCTTAGTTAAGTTAATGCATTTAAGTGCTTTCATGACAACTGAATTAGTTTCCCAGCTGATTCCAGAAAGTGCCCCAAATCAATGCATTCCTAGAATATCAGTTTTAGATATTCCCAGAATATCAGACACAATTAAGAGTTCTGTGATTACTCACGAGACTCAGGTCCATTTTTTCTTGCTTATAGTACTTCTAAAATGCTATAATATTATAGCTGTGTCCTGAATGACACAAACAGATTACTGAGTTGTTTCACAGTTGAGGATGGCATATATAAAACAAATCATGAACAGTATTTGAGAATTTAGCGTGGGTTACCCAATTTAGTGAAAGACTAACAGGTTCCCTTCATTTTACTTCCAGATTATGAATAGAGATTCTAACTGTGATGTCCCAATATGTATATTGCACAGTCCAGATACACAGGGCCAGGCTTCCGGAGGTGAATGGAGGTACACCATTCTTAAGTCTCCTTAATTTTTCCCTTTTCCTCATAGGGCAAATTTTTTCATAGAATGTTTTTCTGTTATGTTCCTTATTGGGATACAAGCTAATGTTTTTTAAATACAGTAGACTTTTCCCCCTAGTGCTTTTATATAGAAAAGCTGTAACAAAGACAGAGAATTGTTATTTTTTGAGATGTATCAACTTTTAATCTTTTCCTAATGAGCTATTATATACCTATAATAATTCTTCGAAGAGGCTAGTGGGATTGATTCCACTTTGAGCACCTCATATGCTAGTCTGCATACGGGTGATGCCAAGCACAAGGCCTCTTTGTGGCTGGTTTTGGGCATTGCCCACACAGTAGTAATAATAATAACAACAAAAACAACAACAACCACCAGTAGTAGTAGTAGTTTAAGTGGTGGCTTTATGATTCTGCAAGTGAATTACTTCTTCCTTCCTTGGCTTTTCCATAAAATATCACAGTCTTTCTGCTAGAATGATTCAGCTGCCTATAAGTCTACAGATGGCTGTATGAGAAATGGTGTCCCAGGAGAATGTACAGATAAGATGAAGAAAGAGATTAAGATTGCTAGTATTTTGTGTCAAGGGATGGCAATAATACGTTCTTGCCTTAGAAAAATATCACATAGTATATATTTCAGTTCTTACCTGTTGTGAGTGCTGAAGACAGACAAAAAATTTCCAGTCTTGCTCGCTGGACCTCTGCTACATTAAGAAGTATGACTACTTCAACTAAGTCATTCTTGAAGTCAGAAACTACAGAAAGATCCAGCACTTCATCTGCCATCACTGAAGCAGGTAGGGAACACCAATGCAGATTGTTACTGAATCATGGTAACATCGTTTTTACTAAGATACCATGTGAAACAAAATGAGATCCCTGTTCAGAATACATCCCAGCTCAAGCACACAGTTTTGAACTTGCATTAAAATGGCAGACAAACCACAACCTGGTTTCAGAAAGTGCTGCATACACACAACTTCAGCTTGAGGCAGCGGGTGCTGAGAATGCTAAGCACCAGAGTGTTATTATTACATTAAACATTCAAATCTGAGTTTACATCCAGCTTGAATTGTAGCAATTTTGAGTCTGTCTGCTGATAACTGTCAGATAAAGCACAGAAAAGTCCTCCTCTAAGAAGCCAGCCAGACAATGAGAACATGGTCAGGCAAATTCCAAAAATTATCTAAGGAGATGTAATTCTATATTTGTCACACCAATTAAAATGATAAAATAATGTCCTTTATATTTAAAATTATGATGAAGATCTATATGCACAGATGTGATCTGTAAATATAATGTTATTGGAATTGAGAGACTGCATAAAAAAAATTAACAAATTTCAGAAGAATTTTTTTGTGAGTTAAAATTCCATCATTTTTTATTCTTCTGTATCAACCAGCAAAGCTGACAATTCCAGCAGTCCCCATGTTAAAGATGTCTGGGGCACACATTTGTAACAGGGGATTGCACCCAGCTATCATGAGCTACAGTTTTTCAGTCTAAATTCTCATATGGCGAGCCACAAAGGTCTTAAGTTCTTTGCCAGTTCTATTATTTTTGTGCTGCAGTTGTGAACAGTTGGTCAGCTAATCCATTCTCTTCCCTGTGACTTATATGTGCCCTGGAAGATAAGTAATATTGATGCATTTGCTAACTAAAATTACAGAGGAAAAAAAAAAAGATTGGCCATGACAAAATATGGTTGGGAAGAATACGTTTTAGTCCTCCGAAAAATAAGTAGAAGGAAGGAGATGGCTTAGTCTGACCAGCAAGCATACTTAAAATACAGCAAATAGTGAAAGCACAATGTAATTAATGTTGTTACATATATTACCTACATATCCAAGAACTTGGAATAATTTTGAAGGCCGGGCATCTAGAATAAAGATATGTCCTTCTGTAGCTCTAGCGATGAGGAACTGGCCACTCTGATCATAACTAGGTAAAATATAAATCCAAGTAGACAACAGTTCAATACAGTCAATAAAAAGGGTCAAATAATTCCACTCCCATAACTCTGCTGACTTCATTGAGGGCATAAACGCAACGGAAATTTCAGCTTCTAGGTTTACAGGGTTAGGGCCTGATATAAAGCTCAGTGCTATGAGTGCAATTTCTAATTGAGTGGGTGGTCAATCTAAAGCTAATGATACTCCATAGCAGTCTGTGTTAACAACTTTATTAAATCTTTCTTTGAAGTTCACTTTTTAAAAAATAAAACTACTATACAGATTTTGATATTATTTTGAATAGACATGTTTACATTGATTTGACTTTGAATAAGTTGCTTTCTGTATCTATTTTTAATGTTTTATCTTAGGTAACTGTGAAGAGAGATCCAATAACAGGCAGATTTATATTAAAGTTTAACAGTTCAAAATCCATTCTATTTTTAAAAAAGTAGAAGTAAAATACTCTCAGATTTTTCAATAATTGAAAAAAACCAATCAACCAAATAAAAAAAAGCCTTTTACATCACTAGACTTAATTACAGGAGGACTGGTAAATTCTGGAACTGTAAGCAAATGAATAATTAACAATGGTAATAAAAATCCACCATATAAGGAGGGATGATCAAAAGGCTTAAACTTAACTTCACAAAACCTCAAATTTGTATTCAGTGAGAAATAACCTCTAAATTCAGACACATGGAATTGTGCATAATTAGTGCATATGGAGATTTGTCAGAAAGGATCTTATACATCAGTATCTTAGGTGCTCAGTTAAACCTTCTTAAAATACAGGTTTGTTTGTTATGTTTCTCATATAAATCCTGCTACTACTCCTTATGTTGGAAAAAATTGAAGCTGTTAAAATATTGTGCTTTGTTATTTTTAGAAAAAAAAGTTCAATTTTTTTTTCAACTAACACCATTACTCAAGCAACAAATTGACAATATTCCTGCCCTTGTTACTACATACTTACTGCAAAGACAGCACTGGAAATTTGGAAAGAAAAATTCTGTGAACAACCCGTGGAGCTTCAACTTCAGTAACATCAAGGAAATAGATTTGACCTGTTTTGGTCCCTACAGCAACACTGTTGGAGGAGGGACAGCAAGCCATAGCAGAAGCCTAGTTAAGAAGTAAAAGATACTTAACAGTTCCATATCTTGTTATATATTATGCTATATGTTAGTATATAATTTCTTTTACTATTTAAAAGTCCCTAAAATTTGGAGAAGAAACCCCATGTCGTTTATCAAAAAAAGGTTTTTTTAACAAAGAAAGGATTTTAGAGACATCATAGGCATTTTTACCCACACTCTGTATCTACATATCAAAAGCTAATTCTGCGCTCCTCAGAAAAAAGACATTATATCCAATATCCAGATTTTAAGTGAAAGAAGTTCCACCTAAATAAAACAGTGAATGCGCTGTTATGTGTACAGCTGTTACAGAAAGTGATTTTTTTCTTACTGTGTCAGACTTCAGGGTTTGAATGCATCTTAAATCAGGTCAAAGCATTAACAGTTTGAAATATTTTTATCAACTCAATTCCTAAAACCCGTTTTTCAGATCAGTTAAAGGCATTTAGTTTTTATACACTTGAAACTTTTCCTTTCAGTTCTGACGCTCATTAAAAATAAAAATTTAATAAAAGTACTATCATAAAAATTTAGATCATTAATTACAAATATATGTTTAAAGACACATCACTAGGACATTAGATTGAAATGTTTCCTCTGCTTTATGGCAGAGTTAAATACATGAGTAGCTCAAGGAAACATTCTGAAAAAGAATCTTTTTAAAATCTCTTTCATGGGTTGTTCAAAGACACTACTGAGCTTTCCTCAGTACTGGTTGATCCAAATCTGTGGAATATTATGCTACGAATTGAAAATTATTAAAGAAAATTTTAAGTATCAGTCACTATATAAGCTCCTGGTTACATGTACCTCAGTATCAAGGTTTAGCTTGCTGAAGCAAGTTCCATCTTCCAGCAACCAAACTTGTACTTCACCTGAAATTGTTACAGACTGTTGAACAGAGAAAAACATAGTCAAAAGATGGTGGAGTAACCAAATAGTCTGGAAGTGACTAGTGATTTGCTATAGAACATAAATTCAACTAATGTCTGTGCATAGCAGGACAAGGGTTACTAGTTTTGCTTGGAATTATCTTGCTTTTCCTTTAAGTCCAGTTGCTGCAAGGTACACCTACCTAAGGAAAACATTTAATAATTTTTGTGAATTGCTGCAACTGCAGGAATGGTCTTTAAGCAGAATGAGACAATCTAGGGCAAAACATGTAATCTTGATCAATATTAGCACTCCCACCATTCAGCCAGCAATAGAAAAACCTGCTTATAATTTTCTTTGCATAGGAAAGGCCTTAAGGAAAGGTCTTGTTTTCCCACATGAAAAAATATGCATATCATAACGGTGCTTGAGGTCTTATATCCAGCCAATTTTATAATTCCATAGTAAAATATGGCTAGAGATCAACCAACCCTCACATTCCTCATTCAGAGTCAGGTAAAATTTATCATTCCCATGCTAATGACAAACATACATATTCAGCAAACCTAATTGATTAAGACCCCAGGGTTCCTAGGCTGGCTACTTGAAGAATTCATGGCCTGCAGATGAATCAGACTTGCTGGCTAAAATATGTCTTGCAGGAGTCAAAGACATAGGAGGAAAGCAAGGAATTTCTCAGAATGGACAGATCCATGAGTAAGGCCTTCTTTGTCCCTGGACCCAAGACAGAGGCATCTCTCAGGCTGTTCCAATTTGTTCTGAAGGCTGAAAAGATCAGTAGGAATTTCTTGTTCCAACATCTATTCTCTGAATTGAATCCACCTTTTGCTCAGCTATTCCTGAACAACAGTGAGTCACGCAATATAACAGCAGAACCAATATGACATTTTAGCAGCCTGTGAATTCTCTACCCTGCATTCTAGGGCAAGTTCTGACCCTTTTATAGGCCATACCTGAATTAATGCCATTTACTTCCTTAATGAGAAGTTACACAACTGTAACATGTATCAGAACAGTCCCAATCTCTGCAAGGCTTTTGATTTTGTGCCTTAGCAACATACTGGTTACTTGAAAAGAGCCACTATTATATATAAGAAAGAATACCATTTCTTACCACACAGTACTTGTTCCCTGGAGTAAGAAAATCAGCTGCCAGAAAACAACTTCTGCTTGCATCCAAGAGTTTGACAGCTTCTCCACTGTGGGCAGGTTTGTAAGTATAGACTGTCCCCTGACAAATAAAGAGAAATAATCCATCACTGAGCTATGAAACTTTTCATTAAAAGCTTTCAAAGACTTCAACAAAAAATACCCATCTTTCTGAGTTTCACTCTTTAAATTTTTATATTTGACTCTAAACTGAGGTAAAAAATGCCCAGTAGAATTCAGCTGGATTTAGTGGGTTATATTAATTTACACTAGCTGAAGATCAGGTTAGTTCATTTTGGAGTGATCCGGCTAGTCACATTTTCAAGAAGTTTTGCTTCTCAAAATTGCTTTAATAAAATAATTTAAAAACACCCTATTTCATGTTACTCCAGGAATCAACAAATATTCTAAACCAACATAAAACACAAACCATAAATCTTAAGCTTTAAGAGATGTTTTTATCTAAAGATCTCAAAGCCTCTTTGAAACAATTCATAACTAATAATGACAAAGATTTTAGAACTTCTCTACTCATTCTACAAAAGGAGAATGAAATCAGAGAGAGAGTGTGACCAGAGCTGTCCTAAACCCAGAACCTCCTCACACACACACACACACACGAAAAACATTTGAAGAGCTTTGAAAATGACAATTTAAATGATTAAAGGTCTGGGAAAACAGGTGAAATTTGAGGATTTGGGACCCTTGTGTAAGATTTCTTGACATGAGGCTGGTCAAAGAAGGATCTTGGACTGGGCTGCCAGACAAATTCAGGTACATGTACAGAACAACTCTGTTGCATAGCCACAGTAGGTCTGATGTACCCAAGCTACACTTTTCTTACTGCACAGGCACACACCAAGCCTAGAGCTCATGCTCAGTAGGTCCCACGTGACCTGGATGCACTGGAGACCCTGTACATGTACTCCACTGTACACACACAAGTATTTCTGTTGGGAAATCTCAGCATTAGGTACTTTATAATCCACCATCCGTAGGAGGCAATTGTTCTGTGCTTCATTAAAAGTCTTTCCAATCTTTCATTAAAAACACAAGATGGACTAAGTTCACCTCTGATATAATTTGTTGACTTGTGTGATTACATTACAGACATTTCATACTCATATATATCAGCACACACGTATAGAATCACAGGAGCATTGCATTATGTAATGCTATTATCTCAAATGCTATACCTGGTCAGTGACAAGCAGAAGTACAGTGTAATCAGGAGAGGATATGAGGCTGGATATGGGTTGTAAGACATCAGTGCAGATTTTCATCTCATACTGCAGACCTTTGATGTGATAAAAGAATAAAATGCCCTCCTGTGCAGAAAAGTACAAATCCCCATGAGGTCTAGGTCATTTATCCTAGCCCACTCTGGAAAACTGAACGGCAAGAACTTCTGAAAATCTCTAAAGTAACAGTGTTTAACAGTATCCCATCACTAATGGTCTCATTTGCTTCTATTATGTTTAAATCCAGATGACTTACCCTGGATAATAAATCTATTGGAAAATGAAGGTGTTCTTTAATACAAGTCTTAGTAACAGTCCATGTTTGATAACAACAGACTCTCTTATCAGTTGATACTTAAGATTTCATATTGTTTTTTTTTGAGACAGTATAAGAATTTGTCCTACTCTTAAGCAGTAATGTACAATGGCATTGTCAGTTTGGTTTAAATATTGAATTAGATCTTGCACAAAACAATTTGGCAGTTCTCTTGGCCATTTTCTCTCCTTTCCTATTTTTTGTCCATCCGTCTTTTCTGTTCCTCTAGAATACTCTTTGTCTTTTGTTAAAAATAGGATTGCCCTCTTTAGTTGCTTCTTTGACTACAAAAATGGAATCTCTTCCCACCCTGCTCCCTTCCAATTTCTTGTCTCAAGTCTTAATAAAGAAAATATATACACCACCAGAGAGGACCTTTATAGTTCTGCAGGCCTCCACTTTTTTCTAACTCCTGTCTTTGCAGTGAACTCTGCAAATACACTCCATTTGAATGTTCTTTGATTTTCACACAATAAGAATAAGTTAAAAGCATAAAGGATGCCTTACACTTCCAGCTGCGTACAGTCCCTCTTTACAAAATGCCATGGCAAATAAATCTGGTTTTTGCAGATCCTTTGGTATGCCACCTGAGAGCACAAAACCAACATAAAATATCAAATTTAATTTATTGCAACAATGTGTCTCAACTTCACATCTGAGATGATCTACTGTTTGTGAATAAAAAGTCTTCATGGGATATATAATCTTTGGACTTTTTGCTGTGATAACGAAAGAGAAAGTTGGTATACATAATTTGAAGTGACAGTGCTACTGTGGTCTGATGAACTAGAAATTAATTTGAGAAACCATTTGATTTTGTAAAGGCTGCTAAATAGTCACATTAAAGTTTGTCAGTAACAGAATCAGAGAGTCATTTAGGTTGGAAGGGACCCTAGAAGTCCTCTGATCCAACCTCCTGCTCAGCACCGAGCCAACTTCAAACTCAAAACCAACTTCAAAGTTAGATCATGTTGTCCAGAGTCATATCCAGCTGAGGTGTGAATATACCCAAGAATGGAAATTCCATAGCTGCTCTGGGCAACTTGTCCCAATGTCTGACTACCTTCACTGTGAAAGTTTTTTTTTTTCCTAATATCTACCCAGAATTTCTGTTGATGCAAACTGTGTCCTTTGCCTGTCTGGTTCCATCTTCTCTGTAACCTCTCATTAGGTAGTTGAAGCAATAGTAAAATTCCCCATTTCCTTTTCTCTAGGCTGAACCAACGTAGTTCTCTTAGCCCATCTTTGCATGTCATGTACTTAGATTCTGCAATAATCTTTGTCACCCTGTGCTGAACTTTGTCCATTATGTGAATATCTTTTTTGCACTGTGGAGCCCAAAACAAAGTGTTTGAAACAAACCCCTCAATCCTAACTCAAGTAAATTACAAGTGATTGCAGTTCTAAAAAAAGTGACTAAAACTAAGCAGTAGGGAACCTATTCTAGCATCACTTATTCCAATTTAAATTAGAATGAGCAGAAATTATTTCACTGCCACTGTTTCTCCTGAGGCTATTCATTTGGCTGTCTATTAGCACAAAAGCTATTAATCATTTGTCATGTAAACATATAAAAGATTGCAATCAATGTGTCTTACAGAGGCCAGTGTGAGCTGAGTTTTTCTAACCAGTGGCTTCCAGCTGTACTCACATGTTATTACTCCCAGACATCATTGGTGCTGCCTAAAAATCTATTATTAGCTTGATTTGAACATGGAAATACCTTTCTTTTTCTGTACTTCTCTACGAACATATGACACCACGTCCGATATTTTACGGATGTATTCTGCACAAAAGAAAACAATTTATAACGTCAACCTTGTTTATATGTCAATACTGCAATAAAAGTCAGTTGTATTCCAGTCTACTGAACAAGAGGCCAGGTTCGGTATACTGAATAAAAAATGTGCATCCTTCCCCAATATCCACCATTTCTGTCATTTATGCAACTGAGCAGGCACAATCTTTCTGTGAATCAGCTTACAGCTGTAAAAGGTAGATAGCAATACTTGGCATGCAGACTGGTACAGATGCAGATTTATCTATCTTCTAGTGCTAAGTTCTAGTATTGTTATTTCTAACCGTGATTTTTTTATTTGATGTACTTACAAAGGAGACTTCAGTCAGTCTGAAAAAAATGCCCCAGTGAAATGTTGTGGCTGCTTATGATTCTGTTTGCAACACCATAACAGGAATTTAGCATGTGCTTAAAGTTGGACATGCACTTAAGCATTCTGCTAAATAGATACAGATTTCGGTAGGTTTTAAATTAAACAGAAGCTTCAGTACAACCTGCATACAGACAATTTCGTTACACAGTTTTAGGACAGGACTCAAAGAAGAATATACAAGCCAAGGAAAAGCCTGAATGGCAAATATTCTTGTTGCCTTCTACTGAACTGGCAAAAACATTTCTGGTCACACCTCAGCTTCTTATTTGTTGATGATTTCCAACTCTCGCTTTGGTAAACTTATAGCTCTGATAATTTCAAAAGCAGAGAAATAATGCTGGTTTGTTGGGTTTTTTTTGAGAGCAGCCTTCTGTTTCTGTGTTAACTATCAAAACTGAACAGAGATACAGTACTTTGGGAAAGTCAGGGATACTTGCTGCAGCTTAAAAAATGATGTATTACATGGCAAAAGAAGAAAACAAGATTATCACCAGCCTGTCTATTAACACTGATTCAGTGTTCATTAGAGAAACAGTTATATGCTGGTCTACAACAGGATGTTACCCAGTTCTAGTGCTGGGGAGAAGCATATTCCAGTACTCCTCTTAGACCTGACTGAACCAGTGAACTTCATGTGCACAGTAGGACTGACACCTTCCATCCCTGCAAAGGACGATAGGGTACAGATTGCCATTGCCAGAACATTTTATGCTGTGTCTCACTGTCTTCCATCTTGGGAGTCCTCTGAATGGGCACAGAAGGGCAGCATGTGGCAGGTAGCAGAGGAGAGACCTCAGGATTCCCAGAAAAAAGAAGACATGGAATGGGCTGCTGTTGCCAGAAAACTTTAGTCAGGCCTGCCAAAGGTCCGCATGAAAAAAGACATGTGGGAATATATGTAGGGCAGACAAATTGCCTCAGCAAGTTGCAATCGATCTGAGGGACATGTACTGAGTCCTCCCATTCCAGAATAAATTAAAAGCAGATTTCTTTGTTTGAAGCCAAAGACATCTTCTGTTCACTCTCTGTGCTTCATACTTTCTGCATTAAAGCCTGATAGTCTTTACAGCCTTGTTTTTGTTAGAAAATAATTTATGTAAGAAAGAGCTGACCTTAAGGAATTCTATTAAGCAACATTACATTAAATTCAGTTTTGTTGTTTGAAGACACATCATGAGTCTTCAAAGATCCGTTCTAACATTATCTAACATATCAAATGAGGACAATCCAATATTTCATGCAAAATAAATTAAATTACTGGTCCTTAACTAATACTAAAAAGACTGTGTATAGCTGGTATATCAATAGTTTAATGTTGATCTAGTAGGGCTGGTTATTAGGATCTGGGCTCCTGGAACTATTGTTCATTTTATCAGTTTTGATGTATTTAGAACTTTTTCTCTTTTTTTCCCAAAGAAAAACGAAAGCAAATTATTGTGTGCTAAAGAAACCCACACAGAAGTTCAAAAGACATTCTCAAATGTTTATCATACTAATAAAAGAAATATGGTTCTACAATATAGCTTTACAATTTCTGTAAGGTACACAATAGAACAGAAGAAAGCAAAAAAAAGCTTTCACCTATCCACTTTCCTCCCTACTTGAATAAAACAGAAAACGCAGCTATTTCTTACCAGGTGGAGGTTTTTGTTGAAGAACAGAAACACCGTGAGTCTCAGCATCAATTGCCAAAACATATCCTTCTTTACAGCTCATGTAAATTTCTGAGGTTGCAGACCAGCAGTGGGCAGTAGGATGCACTGAAGGCTTAATATAATTTCTAGGCTTCAGCACAAAACCAAACAAATTCAATCAACAATTGACTAATATCTGAACAAGCAGTTACATATATTTTAAGGCAAAAAAAAATCATTACCTGATAGAGTTTGACCACTGGTATAATATCAGTCTTATTTTATTCAGTCATCCCTTTGCTGAGGCTAGTAACTTGAGAAACAAGAACACTTTCCAGAAAAGTATATGTCTGGAGATAGTGGTGGTGAACGCACCTCTCTCCCTAGAAGCTTGTTTAAATGATTAATTATATCTTCTTTGAAAAATTATATATTTTTAAATTTGAATTTATCTGGATTTATTCTCCAGCACTTGCATCTGTTACAGTTTTGTCCTCCACCTTGGAAATCCCTCCGCTATCTTCCCTACCCTCGCAAAGATACTGACCCACCATAACTAGGTCATCTCCCAATTTTGAACCCCTAGAACTTTTTTTTTTTAACATCAGAATAGCACTGGAAGCCCAAATTGAAATGATTACCCACTATGACCTCACCCTGACAAATGCTTTTCAAACTGCTTTTCAGAATAGTCTTCTACTTTGTAAACATAACCTGCACATGTGGTCTTGCATGCTTGGCAGTACTAAAACACATTTTGTTTGAATAGTTTATCTTATCATATAATCCAAATTGCTCTGTAAAACAGCTCGTTCAACCTTTGTGTCATCTGCAAATTAGTTCTAGAAATATCCCTGCCACAGACTTCCCATGGGCCTTGAATTTCATTTCGCTAAAATAAATCTCATAAACCTGTCATCCATAAAACAGGAAGAACAGAACTTCTCCACCAAATATTAGTAAAGATAGTGACCTGTTCAGATACAACAGTAATAGTGGTAATATTGAACCAGAATTGAAGAGAATTCAGGGAGGGGGAGAGGGGAACAAAACACAAGAAAACCTTGGGAGAACATTTAAAAGAGAAGATTCAAAGAACCATGCATGTGAGCAGAAGTGACGAGGAAGACTAGATAATATGATGGATAAAAAAAGAAGAGTCTTCAATTCTATAAAACACCTGCTGCCTCACCAAAGGTTCTATAAAAAGAGGAAATATGGATGGACTTGTGATGAAAACATAGGACAGAGATTCATAAGTACCTGGATTTCATTAGTAAAATATGCCAAGGACTTGCTATATGATTCTGGGTAAGTAACTTACTCTCTATTTATGCTTACAAAGCATTTTGAATTTCTCAGGGGAAAATATTACAGAAATAAAGTATATTAATATTTACTTTATAAATCAAATAGGACTAACAGTAATAAATCTATAAAAAATGGGGCTTTACATCACCCAGAGAAACATTTAATATAGGCATTTTCACTGATTTTATGAGGCTTGAACATCACAAATCTTTGAGAAGGTTGTAACTGAACTACTGTGAATCAGAAGCTTTCTGTGTAAAGACAACTTCTGTAATGTTCCTTTGTACCTGCTGTCATGACTTTCTTTACACATAAACCACATAAAATATGCTAATCCTAGGATGAGATTATGTGAATCCCAAACCAGGTTTCTTCTTGAACTGTGCATTGGTATGGTGCTGAATAATAATAATAACAACAACAACAACAACAACAACAACAACAACAACAACAACAACAACAACAACAACAACAACAACAACAACGCCGTCTTTGTTTGAACTTCTCTCCCTTTTGAGTAGCTCCTCTTCAGAGAAAAAAATCCATGATGGATCCTTGTCATGAAAAGTTTTATAAAAAGACAATGGAAAAGAACTGGTACTGGGGAAAAAGTGGAGTCAAGTGGTCTTGTCATGGTGAAGCATATTCAGAAAACTCAGGTGCCAAATGTAAGTAATGTTGAAACAAAACGAAATCAATCTAATGCAAGAAAGAAAAGGATTGAAAGCTGTAGGATATTTCAGTTCCTTTCACTCTGCTGCCCCGTTGTGGTTACACTTCGGTACACACCCAACCTCAGCGTGTTGTTCTAGAGTATGGAACCCTAACCCATTTCAAAGAAGCAAACAAGTGCACTGGCAATGGGCTTGCTTTTCGTACTTGCCTCTCACACATTCCTTAGCAGTGGGCTACAAGGACCATGGACTACAGGTTGAGGACACCTCCTTTGAATAATAGTGTAAATAAATGGTTCTCCACTTTGGATGCTTACATCAATGTGAAAAATATTGATCTCAACTGACTTGGATTTAGTGACAAAGAACAAAAATCCTTCTGTTGAATTCTGCGGGGACAGGGAAAGCTTCATCAGGGAATGATGCTATTCCCACTGCATTCAACTGAACGCACCTCATTAACCACCACAGGAGAACCAGGCTGTCTCTTACTAATTAAAAAAGCATTGATGATAGTAGAGAGGAAAATAACTCCAAGGTATTTACAAATATCAAGGCACAGATTTTAGGCCAGAGTCAGATAACTGTTAATGGTATACAAATAATCAGTGATAGTAACCATTGATACATCTGCCACAGCAGCCTGTCAATTTATAAAGACAGTAAAGAACAGTAGTTGTAGCACCTCTAGTTTGGACAGCCCGGTCCTTTACAGCAACTGTAGTCTGAAGATATCTTGATATCTAAGGAACTCAGCAAGTTCAGACATTTCAATCTCTCTCAAAGTTGCTGCATTAGACACTTTCCAACATAATGTTGATAAAACAATATTTCAAAGGAGTATCTTCTCCATCAAGTATATTCTGATCAACTTGTGCAGGAATTGCTTAGCCAAAACTATATGTTCCATGTTGGGGTGCTGGAAGGGGGCGCTTATCCTGCCAAGACATATGCGTGCAATTCCCCCCAGTGTGGGTGGTTATAAGATCTAGTAGTGGCTCAGTTTTTCTGCTAGGTTAGAGATGAAGCATATGTGCATAGGCATGCGTGGAGAGGAGAATTGGTGCTGTAAGGCACAATAAATGCAAGTTCTGCGAAAAATTACTCAGCTATCATAGTCTGGAGCAAGGTGAAAACATGCCAGAAATTGATTGAGTGCCTCCTGGTGCTAAACTGTGAGTGTAGCACCTCACAATTTAGTACACAGGAAACAACATACCACCACCACAACAAAAGGAACAACAACAGCTTGTGTTTCTGCAAAAAACTTTCATTTCTAAATAACCTGATGTTCATTACCTTGTCAACATTCACAACCAAAATACACCCATCTAGGGAATTTGGACAGCAAATAACCATCAAAATATTTATCATGTAATTTGAAAGAAAAAGAAATCTTCATCAAAGACTAGTAGAACAATCTATTCTTACTCCGGGAATATTTCTATGTGTAAGGAGAACATAATCACCTTGAAGGTGCTAAAAAGAAATCTAGTTTTTCTAAAGGCAGTTGGGAATGCAAAGGCCCGATAGTGGTATCTAGTGTGGCTGAAAGCATAAACTTTTCCATGTGGAAAAGTTCACAACATGGTTCTGCAAGTTCAGGCATAAGAACCTACCATGCCTGAATGGAATAGCATCCATTCAAGGACAGACAAATTCTATTAAGCCTCACAGACCTAATATGGCAGTTATTTTTTTCCCCCAATACCTCTTGTAATTCACTTTACAGGCTAAAGAACAAAGTGTTTTTTGCAGTTCGCCATCTGCACATAATATAAGAGGCAGTAAGGCAGAAGAAAAAGGCAATGCCCCTGATGAGCATACATTATCTTCATTTTCCATGTTCTAAGTGATCTGAAATATAAGCAGCCCATGTGTAAACAGCATCAGTACAAGATGTTTGTTTGTAGTCATTGATTGTCCTGGAAACCAAGGACATCAGCAGTTACACAGTTAAAAACCTCTGTGAATCTGAATGCACGAAGCCATGAAAAGAGGATGAGGTCAGGAAAGCATAATTCCCTATTTTTATTTTTTATACTGCTTTATAAGAAAATTTTATGGCAGAAACCTGTGGTATACTAATCTGACAATACAGAACTCACATTTGTCCATTGAAAAGACATAGTATAATGCCAGTATCATTTTATGCATTGTAGTTTTGGTGTCTCGTATATATCACAAGCTACCAAATAGAAATCAGTGGTCTTAATCTTAGAAGAGAATCCCAGGTTTGCAAGTTAAATGTTTTCACACTGGCAGGTGCTTCTAGTTGGTAGTCAGGTGAAAGTAAATTTCAAACAAAATGAGAACACTTTTGAAGCCTCTCAAAAGAGGCACCTCAAGGGAGGCTAACAAGTAAATGATCAAATACAAGTGAGACAAATGGGCAGGTCCAACACTGCCAGTGGTATGGGAATGTATTTCAGAAGCAGGGGTTGCTGTGTGGAATAAAGCCTTCAATGTTTCCTTAGTTTGAGACATTTTCAGAGGGAAAAAGAAAACAAATCTCAAAGGGAAGTAAGGATACCTGAAGGTTACTATCAGTTTAGCATGGGAATAGGTTTTCAAGGTCTGAGCAGGTCATATTCGCTTGGGCATGGTTAAATGTTGACATGCTTATACTGCTTCTGGGATACAGATTAGTACCTCCAGTGCACAGATATATTACTGTGCTAGGACCTGTGTCAGAAATCTCTACGTTGTACTGCACTGTGCAGTAGCACCATGTCTAGTAAGTCTCCTGTCAAAATGGATTTCAAAAATATTGTTCAGACAACAGACCTATTTACTGGGTTGTACCTGTTTAACAGACATTAAAATTATTAATTTATTAACACCTATTTGCATAAAAAGCATAATGACTTGGAATAGTAAAAAGGAAAAAAATCAGTAACTACCATGAATGTTTCTGCTTCATCTCCTACCAGTCCAGCAATGGCTGAAACTGGCAAATCAGGGCCATGGTATGGATCTTCACTATGAGAAACTGGGAAAAACAAATCCGTATGAGGACTCGCAGACCCTTGTCCATCAGGGAGTTTCACAGGGCTGTGAAAAAGCAAGAGACACTGTCTGAGGAGAAGAAATATTACGAATAGTAAATGCTGATACAAAACTGAGAAACATGTTTTCAAAACTTTGAGACACCAACTCAGTCAACGGGCTTTACTTCTGCAAGAGTAATGGAGGATTGTTGTAGGCAATCATTCTACATGGCACATACCATTTCACTGAAAAGTAACAGTAATTCTACTGCAAAAGAGGAATGTTCCTAACTGGCAGAAACAGATTGCCATGTTCTAGCTCAGTGTCTTTTCTTGTTGCCTTATATGAACAACTATTCTATGTTACTCTTTCCTTATTAACCAGGATTAATAAAGTCACACACCTAACTTGCATATGCTGTGAGCATTCATGCTTAATGTTTACGTGGAGAAAGTTTAACGATGATGAAAAATTAGTAGTAGTATTTCCCTATTGCACTCTGGTAATCGGTGTATGAGTGGTGGTTACAATGCAGGAGTTGAGGATTCCATAGTTCGCAAACTACGTTGATTTATGACTTGGAAAAAATTTACGTAAAATAAACAATGCTCAGTGGAGGTTTAACCTCTACTGAATGGAATGAAAAGTGAGGAAAAAGGAGCATATATGTATTTTCACATGTGTACTCTATAATGACAAAAGGCAAAAACCCCTTCAGTATTCTTTTCAGACTGCAAATTAAGGTCTTGTCTATACTTTCACTAGTATAACTGTCTCAGTGGCAATATGTTGGTTATATTCATAGTTAATGAGATGAAACACACTTGGGAATTGTAGAGTAGCTGCCACGGAAACAGCATAGGTGTTATACTTCAAGGACTCCAACTTGTATGATACATACTACTTTTATACCAGCCTCAAAAAACATTTTAGCCTAACTAAATTCTAGGTTTGCTGTGCTCAGTGAATTGCATTGACAGAGCCACCCTCTCTGGACCTGTAAAGTGGCCACACAAGCTGTACATCACAGAGAAAACTGATAACTGCTTTTGGTATAATTTGTGATTACAACAACATATTGTTTAACTGTGCTTACTAGGAAGCAACTTGATCTAAATTTGGTGGTTTCATAGCTACAGAAGCAATGCTCAACATAGCCACTTGCAGGAAAGCAGTCCAGGCACTACCGTAGTTCAGTCATGAAGCTTTTGATGGAGGCTGCCAAAGCAGCTGATTAGTATTAGCTTCATGAGGTGCATAATCTGGACATATGAGTGCTAAGAAATGAAATCATAAATTCAATTCATTTGATTGACTAGATAGATTCACACTGGTTGTGATTTAGCAATTACTGATCGCCATTGCTAGGTGAACTAAATTGGATTAAATTCGTTGCAAACAGATGTAGGTTGCTAGTCTTAGTTATTAAAATATACTTCTAGATTTTTCTTTTAACCTGAAGGGTGTTCCACTTACTGTCGCTTAAGGTGATGCTCATCATTATTCCTTTCAATATGCCAGATAGTAACGGAGCTCTCATTAACAAAACACAGTTGTTGCCAATTCATAGGGTTAAAACTTAAAGAGGTCACTGTTACCCCTGGCTGAGATTCACTGCACAGGAGAATATTTTCTTGCCAGTTCCTTCATTAAGGAGAGTAAAAGAAAATCAAATCCATTAAATAAGTCAAAAACATTCAAGCCAAAGATCTGGATGTGATTATGACTGACATTCAAGATCAAGTTTGGAAGACAAATACTTTGTCACTGACAAAAAATTTCTGCTGTCAAACAAGTTAGGTCCTCTTGAGAATGAAAAGGAGGTGGTTAATTAGCCACACATAAAATTATTACTGCTACAAAAAGATCGAATAGTAAAATAATTTTGAAAACTGACATTTTAGAAACATTATCATGCACTTCCTTTTGTGAAAAGACCAACAGAGTCAAGAGACATGGATTTTTTTTCATCAGTTCCATTAGTGACTACTTGAATGGGCCCAAACAATTAACTCTTCAGCACCCCAGACCTCAGCCTTGCTTATCCGTAAAATAATGACTATAATGCTCGCAGGCTTGCAGTTGGAAGGTATTGTAATTAGGAAATAAAGCACAGTCAGCCTGTGATTATCTATGGATGAATTACTTAGGTAATACAGTAATTGTGTTGTGAATGCAGACATACAAGCTATGACTGCATTAGCTAACTTGAGCACAAAACAGGGCAGAATGTGTGTGGGGCTGTTATGTTTAGCTGACACAAGCCTGGGAATCTGCTTTCCACTGACTTTTCTTTTGTCCAGTGTAACCTATTTTATGTTCTCACCACCTAATTTGCATATTTCTCCATTATCCAGATTAATTCTTGACTGTATTTGCATTTTTAGGTGCTGTCCAAGAACTGATTAACATCATCTGAAGAAAATGGTTAAAACTGTTTCTTAATTTCTTGGACAATATATCTGACTGTTAATCTAAATAACATTTATAGCTTAGTATTTGTCATTACTGCTGACGGGAAAAAAAAGTAAAATGCATACGCTGCTGTAAATGGATTTAGTATAATCCTGTTGTTCTGGCCTGCAATAAATTCACTCACAGAAATAGACCAGGATGCAAGACGATGGTTAATATTGATAGCGTATGCAAAAAATGAGTAGTCGTCACACTTACACACACAGTAACTCATTAAAATTACAGAAAGCTGCAATTCTGACTTTAAAAGATACCAGTGTAGCTTGCTCACTCTAAAGATCTGTCAGCATGTTCTCATCTCATACCTAACAGATAGTGCCAACACTCTTTTATAGTAGATAATTTATTAAGATCTGAAACTATATGGTACATGTACCTGAAAAAGAATCTGGCATTAAGCCTCTCCTTTGAACAGAAAAGAATAAAGATCTAGGGATAAAATACCTCAGATGAAAGGCAGCTTTTAGCTCTCCATAAGCTTTCTAGATTTTGAGACTGACATAACTTTAAAAACATCTCTTATACCTCTGATTCCAAACTATCTGCTTAAAATACAGGAACTGTGCAATCATCATATTGTAATGACACATTAAGAATGCTAAACATTGAGATTTCTTTCAACTGTACACACACATTTCTACAATGAATGCACAATATAACCCAGTTGCAAAAATGAAGGTCCTGGTCTCACAGTAAATTCACACACCTCTGTTGAAGTTATTATAAATTCTAAGTTTAATATTGTAAAGTAATTCAATTTTGTTACTAAATCCTTTCGGACTAGAATCTAGGATGGTTCTTTTATGACAATTAGCTGCTGATAGTCATATTCATGCTGATTCAAATAGGTTTAAATTGTTTGGCCTTGGAAATTGCCACTACTTTAAAGCATTTAAACATTTCTTGATATTTCCGGTTTTAAAGATAATCTAGAGAAGTCTTTCAAGATGGTGGACTTTTGTTTAAATGCACACAATGATCACATTAGACCATGTGTGGTATTTCTGCTGTAAGTGACAAGCATGTAAGCTCTTCAGGCCAGTGAGGCTGTCTTTTTGGTTTCTACTGTGATATACACACAGACATCCTTCCTGAACTACTGCATACAATCAGACTTCACAGCAAACATTATTCTTCTTCATAAGGGATAAAGAAGAGGCACCTGTAATGGTATCTACTATCAGTACTAAAATTCTGAAGTTACAGGAGTTTCTGCCTCTTCGCTAATCATTGTACAAGAAAAGGTCATCATTAAATTGGGAGTATAGAGAATATTCCTTACATGTCCTTGCTTGCCTTCCTCCTATTCCACCCTCCCCATTTGTTTTGAAGAAGTGCTCAGAAGCTTGCTGGCAATGGAGGCACGAGCAGGATTATATTTTTACAGAACAATGAAAAAAAATAAATATTCTCACTTTCTGTACTGCATTATATAATATTTCTTTTCATGACAATGAGCAAAAAATGATGACCTAACCCAGTGACCCATGGTAGTGTAATCACTGAGCAAAACTATAAGACAGAACTAAGATCAAGCATAAGTAATTAAGAGAACCACTGAACAGTCCAGGGGGACAAAAAAGTAGAAATCAGCTTTAGAATGCTTTTCGTCTCTTCAGCAAGCAACTTTCTTTCACAAACAGCATGGTATTCAACTTCCAAGGGTGAACAGATAATTAACTGATGCTGAAGGTAGAAAATAGCTGTAGCAAAGTAACAGTCATTCTGACTAGTGGCTACTAATGCCAGAAAAAAACCCAGCAAATTTGGTACAGAAAGTTTGCAGACTATGATCAATCAGAAAAAAAAAAAAGGCGGCGGCAACCAGTGTGTCTTCCACATTTGTTAGCTTAATTTATGCTAAAACAGCACATATACAAAAACATGAATTAAATGTAAATGGTATTAGAGAATTTTTTTTACTCTTACCATACTGAAAGAGCAAATTCTGGGATTGAAGAGTAACTGGCTAGATATGGGCCTGTGAAACTAAATGCAAGTAAGGTGTAGTCCAGCTGAGCATTACCTGAAATGTAAAAATAAAGAACATGGTCTTTAATTGCCCCGGACTTTACTGTATACTATCACAGATAGAGTACTCAGTTCCTTTATAGCCACTTTAACTCTTCAAAGACATTCTTCAGGCCCCTGATTCCTTTGCTTCATTCCAGATTATTGTTTTGATTTGATCATAAAAATGTTCCCTATGTATCACTGCTTGGAATTTTCTCAATTTTTTTCAATAATACCTAGAATTTTAAAGTATTTTTCTCCAAGTACCCTGAAATCCTTTGCAGTCATAATTTCATTCATATACATGAAATAAGCAAATAGTATGATCCTTATTTATATGGCAAGGACACTGAAACATGGATAGCGTGAACAACTTAACTAAATAGAGAAATGTTATGAGGCAGGCAAAAATCTATATTAGATCCCAGACTCCAAAGTTTAATTGCAAGAACCCTCATTCCTCTCACATCTCAGATTTCTCAATGTGGCTTTCAGCAGTCTGCTTGGGAGCCTACTGCACTATGATTTTTTTTGTTATTCTGACCGTATTTTCCTAAAATGAATTCCATTTCATTCCATTTGTTTTCCCTTTGTAACAGTTCCATTTTGTATTGTCATATTCCTCCCTAGCTTGAGCCTAACTAAAAGTAGCGCAGTGGAAAATTCTTTCCACTGCTTTCCACGCATCTTGTCATGAGACAGTTTCCTGTCACAGTGTTTTTCAAGTCTTACCAAAAAAACCCTTCAGAAACTGGATGATTTAAGTATTGTTTTAATGAAATGGTGATGGGGAGGGTTACCACATGACTACCTTTTAATTCTGTCAGTTGACTCAGTTCTGGAAAAGTGTAGATGTATATGATGGGATTCAGCTTCCGGTCTGAAAAGGCCAGCACTTGACTGTTCCCATTTGCTGCAAAGGCTCCCACCTGGCCAGTCTGACACTGCAGCACTGTCGTCTTCTTTGTTTCAATGTCCAGGAAGAGGATGTAATTGCCACAAGGGTAGCAGACAGTTTGATTGTTGATAAAGCTGAAGTTCGTGTTTGTGAAGCCCTGAACCCAACTTAAGAAAGAGCAACTGAATGTTAAAACATTAATCAAAGACACACATTTCTCAAAATATTGTGAAAAACAGAATTTTGTAGCCTAAGTTACACTGAACGGATACTTGGGATGTTGGACTCATCCTTGTACCAATGTTGCAAAACCACAGTAACTTCAAGATACAGTACCATGAATCACCAGTTCAGTGCTTCCAAAAACATAGGGTCAATCTTACCCTGATGGAGCACAAAGGACTGTCATAAGAACATGGAGAGATGGTTGTATTTCTTTCAGTTTTCACTAAAAATAAAGTTAGCCAGTTCACAAACTCTGTTTTTGTAATCATATATCATAGTAATAGAGTATACCTTTACCCTGAAGGAATGACACAGGTACAATCTGTACTAGGGACCCAATTGTGTTTGCTTAACTTTTTTACACTTTCATAGTTCATCTCATCCCTGTAAAATAAAAAATACAAAGGCATGGCTTGTGTTTATATGAACCTAACTAGAAGGACTGTTCTGCTTTAAAGATACCAGCACTTTAACATGGTAAAGCTTTGGAATGTAAACAGGATGTATTACACAAGGGCTGAAATAAATTACTGAAGAGGAGTCAGCTTATGAACTTACAACGTCTCAACAAATTCATAACTGCCTGCAGATGTTTTTAGTGTGGATAAACACCAGGGTCCTGTTATCAAAGGGATTTGCATTTACCACTAAGTGAAGACGTCTGACTGAGCCACAGGTTAGTCTGCTAGTACCCTGTTAGAAAAGTTTCAGTAGTGTAACAAATATCCTCTGTGTACAACACTGCTGTTAGCACCTTCTCTTCTAATTTCTATTCAGAAACTTTCCATCTCTTCTCCCAAATAAGAGCATTTGACTGGATGAGATCTTTGTCCTCTGCAATTGCAACCAGCGTTTTTACACTCCTTTCATAAGTCAGTCATAAGATCAGCTCAGCTGCTGATCATCTGTACTTACTAGAAGATTGTGCTACAGACTCAGCACTCTCATAGTTAGGAACATTTTTAAATGACTAGTCTTACAATATTCACATCCAGCAATAACTTCTCGTTATCTTTTCTGAGTAGTTTCCGGACTTGGCCTCTTTCGCTACACACCAGAGGAGTAAGCGTAGCCAGAAGGGAGTGGGAGCACACTGACCATGTGCTCATGCAGATGAACTGAATACCATGGCAACAAAGAGGAGACATTTCAGCTGATTAATGTTTTTCCGGACCTTTTACACGAGAACTAGATGTATGACGCACCATGGCACATAAGCAGACCTTTATGAACGTGCTCACAGGACCAGCTTTATGCTTTTCTCCAACACTAGGTCTGAATCAGTGGAAATTAAGTATTTTTAACTTCTGTTTGCAGAGATAAAATGAAGTCTAGAAAATATGTATGCAGGGATAAATTAATGGGATGACAGCGCAATTTATCATTCTTATACAACCAGTAACGCCTTAAGGGGGCAAGGATTCAGGCTGTTATCTGATGTCAGCTATGACTGGTGCAGTACACGCCGAGCCAGGTAATCAGCCATGGCTCACCCACATGTTTTCCATGCTGTGTCTGTCTCCGGTTCTGTATAAACATTGTGTCAGAAGTATTTCAGTCAAAAACTTTGACAGCTGGTGAAACGTAGATGGGGCAAAGTAATTAGAGTTGCTTGGAAATTTACTTACAGAGCATTTTGCCACTGAAAAATGCTAGTTCATACAAAACAGATTATATGAAACCATGAGTTTTGTCAAAGTTCTGTGTTTTCTGAAGACACAGAACACAGCATTCCAATTGCCCACTCCAAAATAATTTTTGTCACTTTCTTCTAAAACTGATATGCATACTACTGCTGCTACCATTCATCTGTAAGAAAGGCAAACTTTAAACTTTTCTATTTTATGGAAACGGGCTTTGCTTCACATTCAATAGGGCTTAAATTCTTTTTTTATTTTGCATAATATTTTCATTTCATGACAGTGTTTTCACAAAGCAGAAAACCTGGGTCACAGCTCTTCCAAGTAACACTAGTTTGCACAAGGGACTTCCTCTGAATAGCAATGACATGCTTCAGATGGTATCTTTTTTACTCTGCAAGTATCAGAATAGTTAAGGCTGAAGCCTGTTTCTCCTATTACTAAAACAAATCATTTTCTTTCCATTAAGAACTGGTGCACCTATAATTATGGATCTATGTCCCATAAGCATCGATGAAACAGCTGAAATACTTACAATGGACAAGGAAGTTTAAACATCTGTCCTGTTACATAGAAAAAATATCTAAACATCCTAGATTGCTGTGAAAGTCTCAACCAAGGTGGGGCAGGAAGGGCTTAATTCATCTACAGCTCCTATTTATTCAGAACCAAGAAGCAAGTTGTTGGATTGCCAAGAGCTCTGGAAGAGAAGTGCTTTTCTATACATAATGTGGGTTATGTTTGTGGGAAATGGAAACCTGAAGGTCTCTGACATGCAGGTTAAGATCCCGAGAGAGAAAGGCAGGAGTGAGGACTTAGAATACCAGGAAAATTAAGAGCCATGGTAGGAGATCATGACAGTGGGGTTTAGGAGGTATAGAACAGCCAGGGAAATTCTACAGGTTGAAGTAGTCTGGGTAAAACAGAAGACAGATATGGCCATGAACACAAGTGAACTGTATGGGTTCACGAGCCCAGGTACTGAGAAGAAAAGCATGCCCCAAGAGTTCATCAGGATTGTGTGCTACCAGAACTACTACACTGGAAAAGACAACAACTCGTGCCACACTTCTTATCAACTCATCAAGCTCCAGCTTAAAACTTACTCCCCATTTCAGAGCCTCCCTGTGCTAAGGGCAGAGAACCTAAGTTTCATCCAAATCCACCGAAGGCTCAGTCTCTACTGTATGCTGCAGTGCAAGTGCTTCTTTCCCTCTCCCCCAGCAACTACCTGTCGCCCTAGCACAGACCCACAGTACAGCGGCCTCCCTTCCTCTCCCTGCTAGACCTGCCCTATTCTCTGAGAGCTGTATAGAGCTGACCCAGGGTGAGGGGAGCTGGGCCCCGGGGGCACAGGACAGGACACCGGGCACCCCGCCGGGGCCGAGGGGCTCATGAGTGTGTGGCGTGTACGGAGGCCCGAAGGGCGCGGGCTGTCCCAGCCGGCCCCCACCTCACTTCCAGCGCGGCTTCCTCGGCCGAGGGGCAGTTGCGGTCCCCCGGGGCCTCGGCGCGAAGCTCCTCGCTGGCCGCCTCCATCTACCTCACACCACCACCAGCCTGTTTACACCGGTCTCTTAGGAACAAGAACGGCTCCTGCTATTAGCTGACACAACGCCTCCCGCCAGGATTGAAACAGACAGCTGATTGGCCCGCGCCCGTGCGCCAGCCAACCAATGAGTACGGGTAGGTATTTAAAGGGCCAGCCGCCGTAGGAGGGGCGGGTTGTCGGGGTCGC